TTTAGGTAAGTGACTTCATTATCTTGAAAAATAATCCGTTCTTTTTAAAAATGAAATGAAATAATTACTTGTGCTTATTATCATGAATTTTAGGTGCGATAAATTTTATGCGCAAGCGACCTCATTATTTTAAAAAATAAACTTTTAGTAAAATTGTGAAATTTTATTTACTGTTAAGAATTTTAAATGCTGTAAATTCTTAGAAATAAATTTTTTTATTTTTCTCGTCTATTGTTAGAAAATTTTAGATACTGTAAAATTATTAGAAATAAATGTGATATTTCTGCTTTTAGTAAAATTGTGGGATTTCTTTCTATTGTTTTTGAATGTTTAGATATTGTAAATTTCATATGCAAATGACTGCCTTATTATTTGAAAACTGATATTTTTACAATTGATTATAGCATTGTCTGTGAAATGTTTATTTGCGAATTGACATCCCATAAATTGTGATAATTCCGTATTCTTGAATCTCTATAAGAGTTTTCTATACATATTAAATTGGCAATTATGCTAGAATGTCTTTACGAACTGCTACCTTTCTAACTTTGAGCCCAAAATATTTGACTGCTTATTTTTGAAATATTATTAAAAGTGACTGTTATTAATTGTTTCAGTGAAATTCATATTAATAATTTCAGTGATATGTTGAGTATATGATATTACTACTTTCGAATGTTTAAAGAGATTTAGAAATACTTTAAGTATGCAGGTGGACTCATCCGGTTCGCCGGTGAGGTATAAGTGGACCTATCCGGTATACCGGTAGGGATTAAGTGGACTCATCCGGTACGCCGGTGAGGTATAAGTGGACCTGTAGGGATTAAGTGGACTTATCTAGGACGTCGATAGGGATTAAGTGGACCCATCAGGACGTTGATAGGGTATATAGGTGATCTACTTGGGACGTCAGAAGGGTAATTTGTGAAATCCTTTGAATTATGCACTGCCGTTAAAATGTTATATGCATTTCACTTATTTGGATTATACTTAATTATGCATTTTTGAAAGTGAAACTGTTAATGCATTTCTGTTAATAGATCTTCTTTTTGAAAATATTGATATCTTTCAACCATGCTTATTGTTAGGATTATGATGATCACTTACTAAGTAGCCAAACTCATCAAATTATGGTAAGCATTTTTTTTCAGGATAACTGCGGTTTCATTTTGAGTGCTCATCAGGATCAACTCTAGAAGATATTGTAGTTGTGCTTAAACTTTCTTTTGTTACTTTGTAAGAATTCGCCATTATAAATTTGTCCTAAAAATAGATGTATATATATGTTTTGACTGTCACATCTCAGGAATATCAGTACTGTAAATTCTTGAGGGGTGACACTTCCCCACTAAATTTTCGAAAGAGAAATAGTGTTCATTTATTCCCTTTGGTCAAATTAAATTTAGAAGTATTTTAATAACTCGAAAACCTAGGGATGTAAGCTCTTAAACCTCAAGACTGAACTCAGGAAGAAAAAGTTCAAATAACACTTTGTATGTGCTTGAAAATAAATAAATAAAAATAAAAATAAAAGTCCAGCACTTCACATAAGCGGGCTAGGAGGGAAAGTGTTAGGGCCGGTGCCATCCCGATTTGGCTTGGCCCGTCTGCCTTTTATTTTATTTTATTTTTTTTCATTTGTTTTTTGACAAGTCCCAATCTAGAACCAACTACTTGGACAAGTCCTATGCAAGGACCAACTGTTTCGATGTGAGAGAGATCCCTTACCCTGTCACATGGCCACATGCTTAAATTTCTATATGTTGGTGGCCCTATGTCCTCCTCAAACAAAGGGTGGAGAGAGACAAATGTGGCAAAGCATGGTTTCAAAAATGTCAAAATTGTGCAAAAATAGAATTTACCCCCTTCATCTCCCAAGTAGGGAAGGGAGAGACTTTTAAGCCCTTCAACATTTGGATAAGTGGATGAACAAGTAGAAAAAGACTTTCTGCCTATGATAGGACTGGAACTCGATATATCATATGTAACAACTAGCACCCTGAACACCTGTGCCTTGATTATAGCGAAGAGAAAAAGTGATTATATCGAAGAAAAAAAAAGAGATACCCATTGGCCTTTAACAAAGTTTACCTAGCCTAAAAGGAATTTATTGAGTTGCTCACCTAAGTCATCTTTCTTTATTTATGAAGATTTAGGACTCAAAGCCAATATCCCTTCGTATTCACAAATTTGGGGCTTTCAAAGTGAATATTGAGAGTAGCGAAAACTAAAACCAAAACTTTAGCAAAAGTAAAATTCAACCATACTCAAAAGAAACAAAATGAACAATCCAAAAAATAAAAACCAATACATATTCAACTAATTTTTGATGCTCAATATTTATTTTTCTTCTGAAATTCATGATTATGATGGTCTAGTTGATAAATCTGAAAAATATTAAATCCAAAATCCAAATTCAAAATAAATTTTGAAAGAGTGGACCCCTATTGTAGTCGTAAATTTTTGTTGTTGTTTATTATTATTAAGAAAAATTACGTGCAGACCTAATTTGGGTTTGTTTTTTACGGGATTGGTTGATATTTCTCGTAAATTATGCCCACGTCTCTCCCTCTGAGAGGGCCTTCTTTTTTTTCCTCAATTGCTCCACTGTCCCGCAATATTAAAGGAGGGCAATTGATGCTAATAATGTGAAGAATAAATCATATGCCAAAAGATTTCCTACTCCCGCATGACTCCCTCAAGCAAAATACGTGTTTCGGATAATTTTTAGATATCAAATTTTGGGGATGTAATCTCTAGGACTCATAGAATAATCTCATAAAAAAAATCCCCAATAAAACTGTGTACTAGAAAAAAACTAATGTCTAAACATTGAATAGAGAGCTCTAATTTGTGAAGAGTTAGATCTAAGTGTCACAAAACTCAAAATTCAAAATTTCCTTTAAAAATATTCATCAAGTAAATTTTATATGGTCCAAAAATTTTAGACTAAAAAAGTCAATTTAGTTAGGTAGGGCTAGCAATTGGCTAGGCGACCCGGCCTGTGTGGCCCCAGGGCGGGGCTAGGGCCAATGCTAATCCAACGTGGCCTTTTTTTTTATATCTTGTTTTTTCTTTTATTTTTCTTCATTTTTTTTTGGTTTAGCTTCACCCTACCCTAACAGGGTTAGGGCTGGCTCTATGGAGACAAGGGAAGTGTGGGGGTTGGCTTCTTGCCACCCCTATAACTAGGTAGTTTGACCGAGGGAGGAGATGCACAGTGTCCTCCCCTATGAGCACAACATATGATGGGGAAAGTGCCGTGCCTTTTTTTTTTTTGTTATTGTTTCCATTTTTTTTCAATGAAAGCTTACCTAAAAAAACAAAAAGAAAAAGAAAAAAAAAAAAGAGTAAAAGAAAAAGTAAAAGAAAAGAGAGAAGTTATTGTTTCCCTCCATCAAATAGTTTTGACATTGCCGGAGAGAAGGGGTAATTGAGGAGAAAAAAAAAAAGGCTACTGATGAAAAGGTCGGTGGGTATAAATCACATAAATAAAAACGTGTAATTGATAAGAAAAATTGACACATTCCCGTATAAACGCGCAATTGGGTCCGTAGGTTGGGAGAGGAACCACGACGTGATGAATAACACACTTCCTTATATGCAGAGTTTCTCAAGTACAATAATTATTCATCTGCATGCACCTTTTTCTTATGTTCATTTCTGTGTTAGAAAGTGCAGTCCTGGCCGGCGCTGATTATTCAGGTTGAGTTCGAGCAACTCAGCTTATTGGTGCCGAGTACCATAGTAGAAATTTCTTTTATTAAAAATATTTAAAAAATTAAAAAAAAAGAAATATATGTCTTGAGTAAGATTACGCAAAATATTTCAAAATGATGTTAAAAAGGTAGCAATTTTTTTTTTTAAAAAAAGTAGTTTATGACTGGGGGTATTTTTGAAATAATCTGAAATAGATGGAAAATATAAAAATAAGTATTTAATGCTGAAACACTTCCCAATCTTTGTCAAAATGATATAAAACATAAAAAATATATATCCCAAATAAATTTCTTGCTTTTTTAAAAAATTTATTAAATTTTTTGAATTTATTTTTAATGTCACTGAGTTGGGCACCTAACTCAGGACAACTCGGGCTCGGCAAGGGTCCGAGCTTGAGTAACTCGGCCAAGTTAAAAGTACTCGGCTGATTTTGTGAACATTGGTTTGAATACAATCGAGGGAAAGGGCTAAGTATATAAAAAACAAACTAGACATGTGCAAAAAAGGAAAATTATAAAAGAGAGCATTTACTTTTTGTATAAAGAGGTTACAATCAGTCTTGTCATTTGCATTTCAAATTGAGTGGTTGTAAGAATGCCGTTGAAAAAACTCAAGTGCAAAAAAAATAAAAATAAAATTTTTTTTTTTTGAACTTCGCTTGAACTTAATCGAGCCACTATGCTCGGACAAGGTTATGAACCTTGTGCTGAGTTTTTGAGGACTCATATAACATGATATATCGATATATCAAAATCAGTGCACAAAAACTCAGGCGAGCTAACTTGGACTCACTTGAGTAACGTAAACTCGTCCCCTCCCCTTCCCTGGAGAGTTTCAGTATCCCTAGTTGGGTGGTCTAACTCGGGGATCTTAAAAAAAATTTTAAAATAACAAATTCATTTGTACTATATTTTTTTTTAACGTTTCTATTATTTTTGTAAAATTGGAAAGTGTTTTGGCCATGAATATTTTTTTTCCTCATTTTCCTTTATTTTTGGATTATTTTTAAAACCCTCGTCACAAATTAAATTTTCACAAATCCATTTTTGCACTACTTTTTTAACCTCTGTTTTGTTTAATTTTACTTTAAATATATTTATTTATTTTTTAGTATTTTTAACTCGAAAGGGCTCAACCGACTTGAGCTACTCGGCCGAGTCCGGAGTCGTTTATTTATTCACCGGTCCATATTCATATCACGAATAAATCGGTTTGGATAGATTCAGCTTGTATCTTTCATGGATTTGGCACCCCACAATAAACCCTCTAGCGAGAGAGAGAGCGGGACGTTTCACCATTGAAACCAAATGTCCCTCAAGAAACCGATAACCCTACGCAACGAGAGTAAAGACCTCGTGAATTTGTTTATTTTAGGCACATGAGACCTCCTCCACTATAAATACCCCAACATTTCACTCCTCATTTCTTCCAAACATACCCTACAAAATACAGTAGGGAGATCAGATTGTTTGGTCCAAACCAAGCCAAATGGGTTTAGACGATATCATCAGGTCCTTGCAACATAAGAGTATCTTAATCACTGGTTCCACTGGATTCCTGGCCAAGAGTAATCTCTCTCTCTCCTCTCCCTCCATGGGAGCTTTATGAGTTTTTTTCTCTCTTCATGGGTGCTTTATGAGTTTTTCTGATATTGCAGTTTTGGTGGAAAAAGTTCTCCGAACGCAACCAGAAGTGAAGAAGTTGTTTCTTCTCATAAGAGCCTCTGATCTCAACTCCGCAAGATATCGATTGCATAATGAAGTGAAACTTCATTTTTGATTTTTCAATGTTTTTTGCCAGAACCGAAAGTTGAGTCTGTGTTCATTGCTTTACCACTTATTCTCTCTATCTAAATGTGACAGATTTTAAAGAAGGAGCTATTCAAGGTCTTGAGAGAGAAACATGGAAGTGGGTTCGATTCATTTGTTAGAGAGAAGATATTTCCAGTAGTGGGTGATGTCGGCCATGAAAGCTTGGGAATCGCAGACTTAGAACTCAGGAAAACATTGTGGAGAGAGGCTGATATCATCATCAATGTTGCTGCAACTACTTCCTTTGATGAACGGTATTGTTCATAAGAGCTTCTGTTTTCTTTTCTCTTAATTTTTTTTTGATCCATGAGAGTGAGGTTTTATGAGTTCTTTCAGAATGATGATGAACTGGTGCAGGTACGATGTGGCGTTGGAGGTTAACACTTTGGGAGCAAAGCATGTCCTTGAATTCGCCAAACAATGTGGGGGAAGATTGGAGGTTTTGCTTCATGTTTCAACTGGTGGGTATGGGATACACAGAGAGACAGAGAGAGAGAGAGAGAGCTGGGTTCGTTTCTCCATGCGTTGGTAGATGAATAGAGCTCTCTAGGGTTCCATAAGTACATAGAAAGAGTTATTAGGGTTATATTATCAGTTTTCCAGAAGTAGGAGCTTCGATATTGAGAAACTTCCATAAGTAGGGAATCATTTATTTGTGAAGAAGGCGATGGGGAAAATGTCACCCGCACAGGTCCTTGTCTTCTCCTCTTCACCACTTTGATGACTCATGTAATCTAGATCAGAACGGCCAATCTAGGCTACGTTACCTATCCGTTATTCAAAATATCGCTAGTTGCCGTTGACTACCACAATCATGAATATAAAAAAAAAAAAAAATTTAAATGTCGAAAATATACAATTTTGAAAAATCTGGTTTTCGATCTTTTATTCATTCTTTGTTGATCATGGCATTTGCATGGGAAGAGGGCGGAGTCCATGGTGGTAGCTCACACTCTAGTCACTACATTGTGGTTTTTATTGTCACTAACACTTGAAGTCCCAACTCTTAAACTATTTGAATCAATATATTTTTTATTGGGTGAGGTTTGTATAAGGTGCCCACCTTATACTATACAAGTAAGGTGCACCTCTAAACTTTGTCGGAAGATGTAGTCTCAGTATTAGAAATCTTGCGATGACTTAAAAATTAATGATCAATCCTAATTATTTAATTTAAAATTTCAAAAATGTTGTAGATTGAACAGATTTATAAACATGTAAGATCTTAAAAATAGACGCCCCAAACGATTTTTTACAAGATGCATATTTTAGAACCGCAAATTCCTGTTTGTCTTAATATCAATTATCTTGAGACCCAGATGCATATTTTTATCTTAAGACCGAGATAACTTTTCTATTAGATTTTTGTGGTGCACCTTATATAAATTTTTTTCCTTAATAATTTCATGAATATTTTGCTTCAGCTTATGTTTCGGGGAATAAGTCAGGGTTGATAATGGAGAAGCCCATTAAACTTGGTGAGACCCTAATTCCATACTCGCATTTAGACATCGACTTCGAATTGAAACTTGTGGAGATTGAATTGGAGAAGGCCAGGAATGAAGGGGCAGACGAAAAGACTCAACGCCTTGCAATGAAAAAATTGGGCTTGAAAAGGTCGCTTAATGATATTCCCTCTCTCTCTCTCTCTTAATGATATTTACCCCCCTCTCTCTCTCTCAACTTGTAAAAGTAGGAGATGAAAAATATGGGTCATTATTTATAAAGGCTTGTTTAATATAAAATTATTTATTTTTAGTACAAAAAGGTCACAATCATTATTAATCATTGAATGTAAAATTTGACATGTTAAAATATGTTATATGGTTAAAAAAATTTTATTTTGGACTTTGTGCTTAATCAATGGTACATCCCTAACCAGCGCATTTAACATCCAATGACCAATAATGATTGTGCTATTCTTGTATAAAAAATAAACCATCTTCTCCTCTATATTTCCTATTTATAGAGATGCTAAATATGTATGGTGAATTGTCAAATACCTTGAAACCTGGTGGCCTATATCCAGCTTATCTTCATTGTTCTTTATCTTTTTTTTGTTCTTTGGTTAATATGGCTTGTAGCCATATTTTATGAGTACAAAACCAAATAGTTCTGTGGAGGTTAGTACTATTGAAAAAACAAATGATTAATTGGAGGTTGACATTCCTTTTGTTTCGTTTTGTTACTAGGGCTAGGTTATATGGTTGGCCTAACACTTACACATTCACCAAAGCCATGGGGGAGATGATGATGGGGCATTTGAGGGGAGATTTGCCTGTGGTTATCATGAGACCAAGCATCATAGAGAGCACTTTCTCTGACCCTTTCCCTGGTTGGATGGAAGGCGCTAGGTTTTCTATCTTTACCCTTTATCTTTTTCTCTCAACTTTTTTCATTTGTTTTGGTTTACAAGTCATAGAATAAGATAATAGTCTAATGCTAAAATTGATGGCACGCATAAAATATAAGCTAAGATAAATTAATTGCAATATGGCATGCGTAAAGTATAAGATGAAGTCCATTTTAGAATAGATTAGGGAACAAAAGTCGAGATATTGTGCCATAATATTTTGTAACTTTCGAACCCAATTAATTTGCGATTAGTTACATGCCTTTAACAACATAGTGCTGTTGGAGAATGGGGTTCGGGTTGTAGTGGTAGCACTATTTGTGCCCCAACTAAAGTCTAGGCTTTCATTTTCACTTAACAAATTAAAATACTACTAACAATTTCAAAAAATGGGAAGAGGCTAGTCATTCCCACTGAATAACCCAAAAAATAGAAACATAATGCTGCCATGTAGTGTTTTTCACTAAAAATGGATGGTGAATGTGTCATCATCATCAAAGCTTTTTCTCAACTAATTGAAGGGTCGGCTATACGAATCCTGTTCTACCGTTTTACTCTATTAAGATGGATGGTCAACGTATAGTATACATTAATTCTAGAGCCATACTTTTAGGATCTCAAAGACTATATCCCTCAACTTTAACCTGCCAAAGAAAAAAAAAAAAAGGCGACTATATGTGACAATTCATAACAATGTTCTAAATTTGAATTTGGCACATAAAAGTCCAAAACACCCCAAGCTTAAAACGTAGACTGGCTGATGTTTTCAAAATCTTAAAAAAAAAGAGGGATTTTTTTTCTCGAACTTTGGGCATAGTCAATCGTACAACACTAAATTGTGTGGTTTCACATCTAACGGCTTGGCGTGTTTTAAACCTTTATGAACTTAAGGTTAAGCTGCTAAAGAAACAAATCTGACTACAATTGTTTATCTTTTCTGGGTTTAGGTCTCTGCAATAGAATTCAGCTCGGGGAAGAAAAATTTGTTAGTGCTTTCATTTTCATTACATGTTAGGAGCTACATTGATTACTTGAGATATTGCAGGACGATTGACAGTCTGATTGTGAACTTTGGAAAGGGAAAGCTCAAATGCTTTCTAGCCGATCCAAATCTCGTGTTGGATGTGGTAATCTCGCAACTACCGGATTTGATTACGTGTTTTTTGTAAATGAGAGAGAGAGTTTTGACAGTGAAATGTTACTTGGCGACAGATACCAGCGGACATGGTGGTGAATGCTATGATAGTGGCCATGGCAACTCACCGTAGTGAAAGCTCTCTGCACATCTACCATGTCACCTCCTCAGTTAGGAACCCATGCAACTACCACACGCTTGCAGACACTAGCCATCGCTACTTCTCTAAAAACCCATGCTACGATAAGGATGGAAGACTCATAGTGGTAAAAAGGGTGGTTATGTTCACAACAATGGCCCAATTTCGAAGATACATGACGTTATTCTACAAACTTCCGCTGCAGGTGATGTCTTTGCAAATGCACACTCTCCAATTCTTTTTTTTTACTTCTTTATGTTTTATGAATTATTTTTTTAATATTTTTATTAGATTATTTTATTTTTAAATAACATACTATCAAATTTTCAAGTGATTTAGTTTTGTAAAAAAAAAATTAAAATTAAAATACAAAATGGAATTGTGACTATTGGATCGGACCATATTCAATCTGGGCCATTGAACAAACACTGTAGCTAACGCTAGTGGGCCAATATATATATATATATATATAAGTCGTGGGAGGCAAGGCACACGAGGGATAGG